CACTGCCACAGCGCACCCTGGGAAACCTGGTGATGAGGGCCACTCAGGTGGCCCTGGAGAAGGTGGTGGTGCAGAGATATTGGACAGGATGTTGGTGGGAGGGGTAGGGAGTTGCTGAAAAGAATGGGGGGATTGCCTGAGGGGAATGGGGCGGTGTTCCCTCACTTTCTGCAGGCTCTGTCCTTCTGGACCAGTGATGGGGGAGGGGAGTGGAGCACTGGGGCCGCCTAAGCAACAGAGACACGGAATGCTAAAACCCCGTCCAAGAGGGGAGAGTTCTGGCAAATGGGATCTCTGGGGTCCCCAACAGTTTCCATAGAGTGACTCATCTGATGCCAACACCTGAATCTGCTGGGAAAGTCGGAGATGAGACAGGACGTTGGGATCTTGCCTTTTGCTCGACAACGTGGCCCCCCAGCACGCGTCAGCCCCTGCTGCACTTTCTCTGTGACGTTCCAAGGACTGTCACAATCCCCGAGGTGGCCAGTGCGTGCTTGATCTCCAGAGCAGTAGGAAGCTCAGGGAAAGCCCTCTTAGCTTCTTACTCAATACTCAGATCGTTTGGAGCACTAACAGCTCTCGATGGGCAATTTACTTAGTAAATTTCGTTCTCTGTGCCACCGACTGTACCGCTGCAGGCCCGTGCTTGGCAGGCACCCGTCTACACAACCTAATTTCCATTCTGCTCTGCCTGGTTGGGTCCACCCAGCGCCTCCAGCACCTGCCAGCCGGCTGGCTCCCAGGCCTTTCAACCAGCAGCATTCGCCTTTATCAACTGGCTTTCACATAGCGCCCCCAAGGCAATATTCCATCCCACCAGCCTTGTGCTCTGGTTTGGGGAGTCTCCCACTGGCATCACTCGGGAACCCTCTGAAGAAGCCTGTCCTGTCTGTTCGTAATTCTATGATGTCTGGACACTGCAGAGCCAGAAATATACCACCAATACAAAGTAAACTTAATCTCTCCTCTTTGCCACTTAAACAAGAACCCAAGCCTAAGAAAGCAGAATCCTCCAGTGACCTCTCCCCAAGTCCTTCCCCAGAGGATGTGGAGGTGAGAGCCCAAGAAAAACCTAAGACAAAGAGGTATCCAGAAAGACCATGGAGGAAGAGATCTCCACAGAGACCACAGAGGAAGACATCTCCAGAGAGACCACAGAGGAAGATGATCACATTGGCGCTATGCTTTTAGCACCTTCATCCTTGACCAACAGAGTCCTCGCTTCTGGAAGTTGTAACCCTCAATCTCTGGCTCTCCTTCCCACACCCCCAGAAGAAAGCTCGAGTGAGAACTCCCAGATGCCTCCCACCAGCTCCCCCAGAGACCTTGCAGGGGATGATCTGCCTCCGAAGAAGCCTGAAGAGGTTGCAGCCATATTCTCAAGCCCAACCCTAGGTGGCTTCCTGTCACCACAGACGTCAACAAGGGTAGAGCTGGCTGAAGACCACCCACCTAGCTCGCCAATCACATCGATATCCCAGAAGGAGATACAGGGCAAAAAGTCTTCAGACAGCCAATCAATGAGTTCTGCTTCACCAGACTCTGGCAGCAGTAGGGCCTGCAAATGGAAAAGTCCCATGCTACTTCTATTTCCACTGCCCATGCCAATGCAGCTTCTATTGGATAGAGGTGAGATGCCCCCACCCTTTCAGCTCCCCTGTCTATCTGTGGCGGATTACCTGGACACACAGGAGAGCACTGAGGATCAATTGATCCAAATCTCAGAGGGTGAAACAGGTCATTTCAGACCCCAGTGCCACTCAACCTACCTCTTTCTTCTGCCCAAATGTCTCCTTACAACCCACTATGCATGTCCCCAATACTTCTATTGCCCTGGCTGACATATCTATCAGGCCAAAGATTGTGTCTGTTCTTCCGCCTCAGATACCAAATATTGATAAAGAGGAGGCACGGTCTTTAATTCACCTCCTGTTGCTGTTGATAATTTTATTCCAAATGGTTGTAATCCTATTTGGAAGAGCCCGCTGAATAATACAAATTCATAGTTACAACATCTCATATTTTGGATATCCCCATACCTCAAAGCCCCTCAACATCTCTCCAGTCACATGCCTGTGAAAATGAATCCCCAACACCTATGTCTGTAGATTCTCCCCTTCCCATTGTCCTTCCTTCCACTTCCCCAGACCCTTCTACCAGTCCACCACTCCTATGGCTGCCCATCCCACCATTATAGCCCAAGAATGTGCCATTCCATCTGCGCAACCTATTTTAGATGACAATGTCACTGACATGGACACTGCTTCCCCTTCACTGGCTGTTATTTTCAGATCTGACCCACAGTCAACTGAGGGATCTCCCTCATTTTCCCAAGTTCATTGCAGTGTTCAGCAGCAGCAGCATGTTGCCAAAATGCCAGTCCCCAAAAGCCTATCCATCCTGGAGGCCCCCAATATGGCCCCCATATATTTGAATTATCCCATTATCCCCCATACCTCCCCTCCCAAATCTGGGACAACTCATGACAAACAGCAGAAAGCCACTCCCCCCAAGGCTCTTGGTCACTTCAGCCCACCTGTCATGGGGTCCATGGCCACTCACAGTTTAGCAGGCGGCACCTCAGAACTGCCATTGAAACTGATACTGAAGATATGTACACCACTCCTCAGGACCAGTCACCTTTTCATCTCCCCTGCCTCTGAGAGCCATATCCCACATTGCACAGTACCTTCACCCGGTGACAACATGGCCTCAAGCCATGTCTCTACCAGTTTACCAACAAAATCAGACAGACAAGTGACTGTGACTTCCAACCTCACAGGTCCAGTGGCCCTCACTCTGCCTAAGTCAGGGACCAAACATATGAATGGATATGACAGCTCATCTCAACTGGGAAAGCTCATAGTAGCCCCAGCGAATGTTATGGGTCTAGGCTCTCCTGCAGTAGCCCAGCCATCTGTTGGCAACCCAAAGAAACAGGACTCTATGGGTTTGTCATTGTCGGATTCCACAGATGGTTCCACTGTAAACACCAAGCAGACTTTGATTGCCAACCCAAATGTCTCCAATGGCACAGCCACTATCGCTAATTCTGGAATCGCTTCTAGTGTTTCTAATACTGGAGGCAATAGCTTACACTATGCCACCATGAGCCCACAACCACTTGGGGTGATGGGACATGTGACCCCTGTGCCCGGTGGGAGCTCTATGGATAGTATATCCAACACATGCCCCACTCCTTTTCCGACATCGAGAATGCCCAACCATAGAGGAAGAAAGAGAAGGGCTTCCAGCCCGCCTCTGGCTCCTCTTTGTATAGCTCAGGATCCATCTCACTTGAGTATAACAACTGTGGTAGGACAACACAGAGATGTGTCTGCATTGGCTTTGGGGCCTCCTTAAATCCAAGCATCTGGGATCCAACTGTGACGCAAAACACAAGTACCATGACAGGAAATAACAGCCCCGTTTCTATAGCTGGAAAAAACATCACCACAGACATGTCTGCTTCTACTTATGATTGGTACACGTGGATTTCCTGGTGTGCCACTCATATTTGCAGAAATGACAGCAGGAAATGACAGCACCGTCCCCATGTTTGGAGACCCCAGTGACCCCAATTTCCATTAGAACACCTTGGGCCCTGCTGGACAAAGAATATCTCCTACACCTGGAGCAACTCTCACCACAAACAAATCATATGGGATAAGGGGCAAGTCTGCTAACAACTCTGATTATTACACTGGGGCTCACCTAGCCATATTGCACCCATTGTGGTCTCAAATGCCAGGCCCATTCCAAAGCGTAAACACGCTGCTACTTGCATGTATGTCCCCCACACATGGCACCCATCTTTCCAGTACTCTGCTGGGGACAACAACTCCCACAATTGCAGGGCCTGGTGTTCCTAATTTCCGTCAGTGGGGCCCACCTGGACCAAACACAGCTGGTACAACTGGAGGAAATAACATCTCAGCTATTGTGGGTGGCCCCTATGTCACCACCTCTCATCAGAATACTGGGTACCCACCTACGCTGTGAGGGATAGCTCCACATCTGCTGTGACTGGATATGCTTATGGCTCAATAATTCATACAAATCACCTGGGACCCTGCAGGTCAAGGGACAAGTGGTGGGACAGGGTGGGGAGGCAGGGGATTTTAGGAAGAATCCTCTCAAAACTCTTGGACCAATTGTGGCTATGGCGATGCCATCAGTGTTTGGAGGTACCTGCTCAGAGCAACTCTGCCGGTTTTCTGAATGTAACCAAGGGCCTCCTTGCCTGTGAATCACTCCCTTAATCTTCCTATAACTTTGTAGAAACTACATCCTCTGCAAACCGTCAAGATATGAATGGACCACTCAGTCCACTCATAAGGGAGAGAAAATCTACTCTTCCTACAAGCAAGCCAGAGGAACAACCAACCACATGTCAGGAGTATGTGTTAAACATCTCTTACTTGAGTGACCCAAGCTATGGACCTTTTCTTTCTAGTCTTGAAACTGGCATCTCTATTTATAGGTGCTTCCTTTCCTCTTGCTACTTCTTCCCCTTACAAATGTATATATTAATACATACAAATATATATTAAAACTTGTTCTTATTAATCTGCCTCTACTCAATTCAATTCAGCTCTGGAGGGACATTTGACATTTATGAGTGGTGACATGTTGAGCCAGACTAAACTACGTAAAATGTCTTGTGCTCCAGTGACTGGGATGTGGAAATAGCTACACGCTATGACTGCATGTGCTGAGTTCTGACATCTCTGTGTTTTGCAGGAAAGGGATGCCAGTTCAGGAGGAAGTGAGATCCACAGAAGGGAGAGAATGGGTGGCTCATCCTTGCCCCTTCCCCCTGGGTTTCCGTTTTCTCTCCTACCACTCTGATAGCACTGGTGGCTAGATAATCCCTAATGTGTGATGGGAAGCCACACTTTGTGATTTCAGTTTTTAAAAAAGTATAATGTCTTTTTTGAGTCTTTAAATCTTAGACCATCCTCACACATTGCCATGCAGCCAGAGAGGAAGGATTTGGCATCAAGTTTCTTCTATCTGGAGGAACAAAGAAGAAAGAGGTAATGCCTTAAGATGACTTAGAATTTATCATTTTGCTTAAAAATATCAGAAAACATCCTCTTTAATAACCTAGTATTAGTCTAAATCCCTAAAACATCAAATCACAACAGTTATAATTGCACCTAGTGCAGGCTGAACTTAGAGTTCTATTGGGTCCCCACTAGACTTAACAAAGACACTGGGGAGCTTGCATTCTCATTGCAGGAGAGAAAAGAAGCAGCAAACACAAATTATCTAACAGGTTAGCCAGAAACAAACGCTATGGAGAATAAAGCAGTGTATGGAGGATTGAGATTGTGGGCAAAGAAGCAAGGGTTTCAATTTAGACAGTAAAATTTCCACTGGGGAGGTGGGATTTGAACAGTCTAAAGAGAGGTAATTTAATCAGACATCTGAGGGGAAAGCATTCTTTATAATGGGAATAATCTCTGCAAAGGCCACAAAAGTAATAGACCTGGGATCTTCAGGGGAGCAGTTAGTAAAAACTAATGTGGCTGGACTAGAGTCAACAGTTGGGAAGGAGGGAAGAGGAGGGGAGAAGACAGGAACAGTGTTGAGTCCCCTGCACACCATTTAAGGTCATGATTACAAACAGAGTTGATTCAACCCTCAAGTCTCTCAGTGAACTCAGTGCTTTTTCTATGACCTATTTACCTCAAGATATTTGGAAGGACAAAATAATATAACACAGACAAGTGAATTATAAATGATTGTTGTACTATATACAGGGCTAGATGGATAGATTGTATGGAAGAATGGACAGATGGGGATGGGTGCATGATGGATGGGTGGATGCATGGATGAGAGCTAGATTGATCGATAGATAGAGAGATAGATAGATAGATAGATCGATAGATAGATAGATGATAGATGCATGGTGGGTGGAGATAAAACATATACACAAATATGTATGCTTGATGAGTTCTTTGATCACCTTTGCCAGGCAATTCAAATAGGAACCTCCATCTTAAAGAAAACACGAAAGTACTTACTTTTATGAAGTAAACACATGGAAAAATATAATAACTGAGGCTAAAAATGCACAGCACTGTGCCTAGTGCAACATTTACGAGATTAGTCCTGTGAAAACAAAGAGAGCCATCACAGAGAGGCTGCTGGACTCCTCAGGCACCCTGCCGCCTGGTTCATTCAAAGTTGTTTTTACAGTTCCAGAGGATCAAAGCTACTGCTCTCTGGCTGCACAAATCACCTGCCCTTTTCTCATCTGGGAAGCAGGGATGTAATCCAGTTTGCTTCTAATTGTCCCAGACCCTTTCTCTGCCATGTCTGACAATGTCACCCGGAACTGATTTTTTTTGCAATTTTTTTTAAAAAAGATTTATTTATGCATACAAGAACTGGGGTACAGGCCAGAGGTGTGGAGGGTGAGAAGATTCACCAGAGACAGAGTGGGGAACAGAACAGGCAGACTGTCTAAAATACACTGCTGAGGGGAACAGCAGGCAAGCCAGGAGAGGTCTGCTGTGCCATGTGGGTAACTCCCTGGCCCACTGCTGTGGATAGCTTCATAGATTGTGTCTTAACCCCTTGTGTCACCAGGGAGGCCCCGGGGACTGTTGTTTTAATTTATACTACTTGGCCTTTTTTTTTTTTTCTTAAATAGCTCTTTAAGTTAAAAAGAGTAATCCTACCTGAAACCATAAAATACATAGAAGGAAATATAGGCGAAACACTACATGATATGCACATCAAAGACATCTTTACAGACACATCACCCAAAGCAGTGATAGTGAAGGCAAAGATCAACAGCTGGGACTACATCAAATTAAAGAGCTTCCGCACAGCAAAAGAGACAATAACAAAAACAAAGAGAAACACCACCGACTGGGAGAACATTTTTGCACACAACACTAATGATAAAGGACTGATCACAAAAATCTGCAAAGAGCTGATGAGACTCAACAATAACAAAGACAATAATCCTGTCAAAAAATGGGCAGAAGAGCTAAAAAGAAACTTCTCTGAAGAGGAAATGCAAATGGCCAACAGGCATATGAAAAAATGTTCAACATCACTTGTAATCAGGGAAATGCAAATCAAAACTACCATGAGATACCATCTTACACCAGTGAGAATGGCACATATTAAAAAAACTAGCAACAACAAATGTTGGCGAGGTTGTGGAGAAGAAAGGAACTCTCCTGCACTGCTGGTGGGAGTGCAAACTGGTCCAACCACTATGGAGAGCTGTGTGGAGATTTCTGGACCTACTAAACATAGAGCTTCCATATGATCCAGCAATTCCACTCCTAGGTATTTACCCAAAGGACACAGAAACATCAACTCCAAAGAGCACCTGCACCCCTATGTTTATAGCAGCACTGTTTACAATAGCTAAGCTTTGGAAACAACCCAAATGCCCAAAAATAGATGACTGGATCAAGAAGATGTGGTACATATACACCATGGAATATTACTCAGCATTCAAAAAAGATAAACACATGCAATTTGCAGCAACATGGATGGCGCTGGAAGGGATCATGCTTCAGCGAAATAAGCCAGAAAGAAAAAGAAAAATACCAGATGGTCTCACTCATAGCAGAAATCTAGAAAACTTAAATAAGGGACAAGGAAAATGAATAACTATAAGAAAGTGAAAATCATAATCAACAAACAACTATGAAACAGAGACACTCTATGAGGGGTGGGGGGTGGGGAGGGGAGGGATTGGGGTCAAAATAAGGGGGTTGCAATTGTATGGGGAATATAAAAATAAAATTTATTAAAAAAAAAGAGTAATCCTGATAAGGTAAATGTTGAACAAGTTTGTGAGAGATGTAAACAGGATTTTGAATTCCATATTTTGATGCACTTACACAGTTGAAACTATTTCTAAATATTCTTTTGTGAAAATAATACACAAACACGATAACAATTTTAAAGAATGCTGAAATTCCACCCTCTCCAGAGACAGGTTTTGCTGCTTCGATGTTATCGCTCATAATTCTCAACATACTTTCCTGCTGTCTTATTACATCTCCATTTTATATATTTTTACCAATGTTTTAAATTATGTTTATTGATGTAACAATTTACAACCCTTCCTATATTTCACTGGTAATGATAGACACAGGATCACACCTGAAAAGATATGTCATCACACGACTCCCACATTCAAGTTAAACAACAGTGTTACACCCTAAGAAGAGGGAGGGAGAAAAACTCCCAATCCTCCTCCCTCCTTCATTACAATACATCATCTTCATTTCTTTAATTTTGCTGTTTCTCCTTGTCACTATGTAGCTTTGCTTGCTTTACAGAGGATGCGAGTGGTAACATAAAGGCTAACACGAAGGTTTCTGGAGAGGGACCCCCTTGGAATGAGATCATTGCTCTTCAGTCTATTAACTCTTGTCCCTAAGAAAGTTATATACTCTCTGTGTGCCTCTGTTTCCGCACCTGTAAACAGGTGGAAACACAATAACTGCTCATGGGCTTTTTATGATATGATAATTAGGCATTTTCAGGCTTTAGAGTGCAGCACACAGAAGAGCTCAGAAAATATGAGCTGTTATTATTTTCTTGTGATAATACCTTTCACTCTAATTTCAGGATTTTCTCTGTGCAGGAAACTGTGCCCCCGCATTCCCTCTCCCCCTTTATTTAATTTGTACAGCTCACTTTCTTTCAATAATATGTTGTTGGAGTACAACCCAGGAGACCCTCCCAGGCATAATCTGTAACTGGGACCGGTATGCAGAGAGCAAGGTGAAAACAAAGAGACAGGCACTGCAGATTAGGTGGCTATTTTAATGAGCAAGGAAACTTACGTATGAGGCAATGTGTTGGGCAACCTTAAGACACCACACCACCCCAAGCAAATGCCAAAGTTTTTTTTTTTTTTTTTTTTTTAAGATTTATTTATTTTATTTATATAAGCACTGGGTACAGTCAGAAGTGCGGGAGGGTGAGAGAATTTACCAGAGCCAGAGCGGGGAACAGAGCAGGCAGACTGATGAAATATACTGCTGAGAGGAGCAGCCAGCATGGCAGGAGAGGTCTGTCGTGCCATAGGGGACCCTCACCGGCGGCCAGGGATCAAACTGGCACTGCAGAAGCTGCGGGCAACTTCGCAGCCCAGTGCTCAACTGCTGCGCCACCAGGGGAGGCCCAAGCAAATACCAAAGTTTTATGGAGGCTTTAACTGTATTCAGAAAAATGTGCAGTCTCTAAAGTCTCAATTGTTACTGGGCAAAGGGTCTAAGAAAACGGACAACAGGTCAGAACCTCTCACCAGTTCTGGGTCCTAGACACTAGTGGCCACATAATGCTAACAAAAGTGCATTTGATGAAGCAAAAGAAAAAGATCTATTTTAACTAACAGGGTAGAGGGAGAAGGAGGAGGCCCAATACCAACAGATGGTGTGAGGTGGAGCTGCAGCTGTAGGAGAAAGCAGGGTACAGAAAGCCCTGACCATCAGAGCCTGTGGCACCTCTGCACAGTGTCCCCAAGTCCTGCTGCCACCGGACCAAGTAAGACATGCAGAGGCCTGCTACTGCTGAGGTGGGGGCCAGGTGGTCTGGGGGGCAATGTCCTGCCACCTGCCTGGTCAGCAGAGCACCTGCCTTCCACAAGAGTGAACCCAAGTGAATGGCTTCCTTTTAAAGACTCCTCAAAATGGCCATTCTGCTCTGCCCCCTTCCCAGCAACCCCATCTCTCAGGAGACCTGATCTCTGAGCAGAGTTCAGTCTTCCGTGTGGGAAATGTGGTTTGCCCTGTGGGGTGCAGGGTTCAGGTGCTCTGTGCCATACCAACAACAAAGAATGATTTCCAGGCTCCAGGCTATGCATTGTCTTAGAGCAGTTTCTGGGAATGAACATTCTCAGGGGGGAGAGATGCTAAGACTCTGATTGCCTGGATCCAACTCCCAGGTCAGATAGGTGGTCACATTCTTTCCATTGCTTTCCCCAGGCTTGCTTTTGTCTACTCTACTCTATTAACATTTACATTGTG